CATTAATTTGTTTGAAGTGAATTCCCAGATCAGATATATCTATATTCAAATGTAAGAACAAAGATACATTCCAGAGCCAAATCTGAGAACCTTCTGGAATATCCATTAATTTGAATTACCTTTCTGTTCCTCTCCATAAGTACAAATAACAGAGGTTGGCTATAGTCTGAATGGTCAGTGTGTCCCTTACACTTATAAATTAAGATAAATAGCTAGCTTCATGAAGGATCTATTATTTCATGGCCCTTTTATATCCATTTATTCTTCCTCTTCAATTTCTTTGGATTTAAAGTATCAATATTCTCTCCTAATCTTTTTTTGTGAAATGAAAAGTGTTAACGCTTCCATTTTATGTATGTAATTATACGTCACATGTTTGTGTATAACACTTTCATTTTATGTTATATGTCATTTTCTGAGTGACCACTGTGCTTCCTGAGAGTAAAACATTGTCCTAATAGTTGTATTATAAAAGCCACATATAGCAATTTTCTTAAACATCAAAATTTATTAATTTAAATGTCACACCTAGAATAATTTGTGGATGGTAGGATTAGATATATTTACTTTTTTATGATCTTCTCTTTGTCAATTTTTTAGATTTAATATGTACTATAACTTTACAATCAGAAAACTACAATATATAGAAAGTTAATACGTAGTTTTCATTGATGTAGTTTTCATTGAACTGTATATATGAAGAATCAAATCTTACAAGGTGAGGAAAATTAATGTGAACTCAAGTTCTCTTCAGAACTCACATAATTAAATAAAGAAGGAAACACAGCTGGTATTATTTTCATGGAAAAAATTTGTTTTTTTAAATAGTTTTTTTAACACAACATGGTTCCTCAGTATATACAGTAGGCTATCTCTTTAATCAGAGACATGGGTCCTAAATATGAATTTTTTTTTCTTTTTGGTAAATATACAAACTTTAACTTAACATAATTTTCAACGATAATTATATATATATATGTGTATATATCTCTCAAACGATACCCATGGTTAAAAATAAGGGGCAGGGATAAAGTTGGTAGTAAGCAAATCAGTAAATAAATAAATCTCAAATCTCGTTGTATAAAAATTTCAAGTTCTCAGCCGGGCACGGTGGCTCACGCCTGTAATCCTAGCACTCTGGGAGGCCGAGGCGGGTGGATTGCTCAAGGTCAGGAGTTGGAGACCAGCCTGAACAAGAGCGAGACCCCATCTCTGCTAAAAAAAATAGAAAGAAATGATCTAGACAACTAAAAAAAAATATATGTATAGAAAAAATTAGCTGGGCATGGTGGCACATGCCTGTAGTCCCAGCTACTCGGGAGGCTAAGGCAGGATTGCTTGAGCCCAGGAGTTTGAGGTTGCTGTGAGCTAGGCTGATGCCATGGCACTCTAGCCCGGGCAACAGAGCCAGACTCTGTCTCAAAAAAAAAAAAAAAAAAATTTCAAGTTCTCTCTGTCTTTTGGGAGAAGGCTAGAGTTAATAACAAATAGCAAAGTCACTATTTTTATTTCATTTTCCTCCACTTGATGAAGATGAAAATAAATGATAAAATTCCAGGAATGCAGGTCCAGAGTATATACTTTCTCAAACTATAGAGTTAGCTCCATGGAAAGCACCACCACAAGATTTCAAACTGATAGACAATACCTAATACTTCACATTCTGAGGTTTCTTTTTTAAAGAACATGAATGAGGTGTGCATAATCTAAATTTCATTTCTCATAGGAAGGGAATATTCTGGAGCACAAATAGTGGTAGAAAGAAGTATAAACCTAAGATAACCCTTGTTCTTTGCTATCTATTCTCTTCAGTGGTTAAAAAACATTCCTAAAGATAATCAAATACTTTTTAGGAATCAAAAATGAATTTCTTTCTTCCTTAAAAGAACTTTTGACTATCATATATTCTTATGTTAATACTAGGATTTTCAATCAACCTTGGAATGTCCAAGGCAGTCTAGTTGAAAATATTGAAGGAAGTTTCCCTTTACCTTCCCTTCCCCTTCCCCTTCCCCCTCCCCTCCAAGGGCACGTGTTAGATCAGTTGTGATAGATGCTACAGCCGTGTTTTCAAATATAACATTTGTTAACATTCTCTGACTGAAAACCATGTTTGGCTCCATATACGTAGGGGTTTATTCTGTTTTAGAAGAGGGTATGGGAAGAGTGTAACCAATCATATCGCATTAAGGTAAACAGACACATCTAGGATAGACATAATGCCATCATTGTCTGCGCCTCAGTCAAACAAGTTGCTACCAACTGTTGATATCAAGAATAGGAAAGACTGTCTTTTATGCAAATTAAAACTCAACATATAGTAAGTAACTTACTACAATGGAGTGTGGTATTTCCAAAGAATGACAACTATCCTGATTTTTAATGACAAAAACATAACAAAATAAAAGAGGCAATTTTTGGCTCTTCTAGCAAAGTGTCCACCCTTTATCCAAGGAATGTATTTATTTTCTTAAATTCCAAGAAGACTCAAAACTTGAGACAATAGGTCAAAAGGGCAGTTTAAAGCCCCTTTAAACATAACAACATGACATTCTACTACATAAACAGAAAAATGATGCTGTTTCATGCGAAGAACAACAAGCCGCCACCCCCACTAAATCAACAATTTAAAAGGCCACTCTAAGGTGCAGTGGTTTTGTTCCTATTTTAAGCTCTCTCTTCATCCATTAAAATGGATCTCAAAATTTGTTGTCTGACTTTTCTAAGATGACTCAATATATGATATCTGATGAACATTCTCCTTTGTTAGCTTCTTTTCATTTGCTTATCTCCTAAATGCTGATGTTTCTTAGGGCTCATCTTTTCTATCCTTTATGCCGTTCCCTTAATCAAATTCATCAGCAATCAACATTTCAACTCCAAATTATAAATGTTCCCCCCAAAACTGTCTTTCTCTTAAGCACCAAACTTACCCATCTGTGGACTGAACATCTCTACCCAGAAGTCCTACAGGTACTTCAAGGTCAACATATCAACAACAGAATTCACTTCCTTCCAAAATCTGCTTTATTTTCTCTCTATATATTTTTATCTTAAGGAATATTCACCCAGTCTCCTAAGTTATAAACCTCAGGCTTCATCTACAAATGCTCAATAAATCGTATAAGTCCAACCTTTACATTTCAAAAGAATTAACTGTTCTAAAAACCTGGATCTGAATGTGACATTCCTTGCTTTAAAAAAGCCACAAGATACAGTCATCTTCTTCTTACGGGGTATACAAGGCCAGTTTACTTTTCCATCCCTATCTATCCTCTCTCCTGCCCCACTCTCCAAAGATACACCTATGGTCTAAAATACACATTACTTCTACTTCCCAACTATATCAATCATTCATTCAATAAATATTAAGAGCTATGTGTCAGGCACAGTTCAAAGCACTAAGGATCCCACAGTGAACAAAACAAAGTTTCTGCCCTTGTGTGACTTATATCCTGGTGGAAGAAGGCAGACAAAAACAAACAAATATATGATATATGACGTGGCTGTAAGTGCTATGGAGAAAAAGATCTAGCTAGAAAAGCAACTCAGAGAACAAAAATTTATCACATTATGAGAAACTGATTTTTCCAGCGTGTTCTTCCTGTAAACTACAGAAGACCAGCATGTCTTTAAAAATGCAATCATACTTCTACATTCCTCAATTTATTTATATTTCAACTTAAATTATACGTTAAAAACACAACACCAAGAATGATACTGAAACATACAGTCATTGAGAGGCACAGCAGAATACAGCTTACTTCTGGAACAACTAATTATAATAATTTTACTTTTTGAGATTAAAGTTGATGGAGTTGATTGTTGTTCTTTGATTCTAGTATTTTAGTTGGCTCCTGAATGCACCCAATAAAGTATTATGAGTGCTGGCACATTTCAAATTATGTCATGAGATTAGAATCTATTAAACTTAGGAACTCATCTAGATTTAGTCTCATTGTTATTTCACTTTTTCTATAATACTCTAACTATACCATGGTTTCAAATTTAGGGCCTACAAATTAAGACTCCATAGTAATACTAGAACATTAGAGACAGGAGCTTTTTGCTGGTGATTTAAAAACAGTTGTTCAATTGTCTGAGTCAGTTAAGTGCATAATACATCTCAACTGTTTACAAAGAGCTGAAACAACTGGAGAAACCTACATAAGAGCACTGTTTAAGATATAGGATATTACTAAGGGATTTGACAATGAGCCAAAGAAAATTTACACACACATTAATTGGCCTGTTTCATACTCAGAAAATTACAATGATTTGCCTTACCATCTAAATAATACTACATACTTTAAAAGAATTCAAATTCTTCTGGGAATCTTCACTATTACTGTATTACATGTGGCTCCAGTCTCAGGACATGAATGAGTGAATGCTGGTGTTTCAGCGTTCACATATATATGTAAACAAAACTAACGATTTGTTGTGTTTTTCTTTTTAGATGTAGAAGTTAAATCTGAAATGTTTTAAATTTCCAAATAACTAAATAGCAATTAAGCTCAGTGGAAGCTGAACTTAATTAACTTAATGACTGCAACTCTGACAAGCAGAATTCTGTCAACGTCTTCAGGATTTAGAAAAGAATGATAAACTTCATCACTTTCTGAGGGCATAACCTTTCACTTCCGTCAATCTCTAGATCCCCACAAACATGCAGATTGTGGAAAGCTCCTTTCTGTATCCTACATGATGATCAGCTTCTTCCTTGCTCAAATTGGTTGTCAGAGAGGGGGAAACATCCCAAGCCCAGCTGAAATTCCAACTAAAGTGTGAGCCCATGGGAAATACCGGAAAAGGGATAGGGTAGATCAGCTAGACTGCAATGTACTGATAACTCCTGTGCCGAGAAAATCGCAGCTACCATCACGTTGTAAGGGCCAGGGCTTATGTTCTATTAAACAAACAAACAAAGAAATGAAAGCTGGCTAAGATGCAAACTTCACTTCATTCTCAAGGCTGGGAAGAAAAAAAAACATACATACCGCATCTGTGATGTCTATTTCATACACCCTTTGGAAAGTCCTACGCTCAAAGAAAACAAGTTTGCCGCTACCACATCCTCTTTGAACAGATGTACCAGTGACTACGAGTTTATCATCTGGACTGAAACAGCAGTCAGTCCTACAGACAAAAAGAGTTTATAAGCATAAGCTTATGACCCCCCCCAGACATAATGAGTGAATTAAATAAAATATAAACATCATTGTAATAAGAGCTAACACCTATATAGGGCTTACAAGTCAAGTGCACATATTAATTTGTTTAATCTTCACAATAATCCTATGAGGTAGATATTATCCCCATTTTACTGATTAGGAAGCTGAAGCAAAGAGGTTAAATAAACCTTGCCCATAATAACACAAGCAAGTGGTGCAGCTGGGATTCAAACTTAGGCAGTCTGACTCCAGCATCTGTGCTTTTTAACGTCTACATTATAATATTTTTAATGCAAAGGGAGCATGGGAAAAACTCAGTATAGACATTGAGAGTCTCTACTAAGAGTTATATATGACTAATGTCTAAGTATTGATTATTTTGGTCATTTTTGTGAACTCTTTTTACTACTGCCATACCACGGCCCCAAGTAATTTGAATTATGTCAAGTCAAGCACCATGAAACAAGGAGCAGGCTATACTGCTGGAACCTAATTGATGACTACAATACAACAGCTCTTGTTATGAGAGGACTGGCCACCTGAGTGTGGTAATAAGCTAAGGCATGATCCAAAGAAGTTACATAGTTAGCATTACTTTAGCAGGCATGATAGCTCAAAAAATTCTCATCAGCTATAAATTCATGTTTGTTTGTTTGTTTGTTCTAACAGATAGATGTCATAGGCAGTGGACCATGTTAGATTTAGTGCCGTATTATTATAAAGCTCCCTTCACTTGATGCTTCCATTACCTTAACATTCTCCCTGTTGGTCATTACTTAACACAGATGTGGAATTTCATTTCTGCCAAAATAGAAAAATTTGCCTAAACCCCAACTATAGGATTTGGAGGTCAAATCCCACCTCAGCTACCCACCCTCCCCCAAATCTTTAAAAGCTTCAGTAGCCAAGTGAGTAGAATGGAGATAGTGTTCAGTTACCCAGAGGAAGACAGTCTGAAGGATGCTGAATTACTGATTGGAATGATAAGAAAAATTTGAGAAAATGAGCTGTATTATAAATGCTTAGTAACTATTAGAAACTGTTTTAATGGTATGAGAGACTTCAAATTTAAAAAAAACTACAGATACACAGGACTACCCTATCATTTATACAATATTAAAAGATTAAATCTTTCAATATATATTTTAGTACCCCAAGACCTGTGCATGCACACAATATATACACACACAAACACATGAACACACATATTAACTTTAAAATTTTTTATAGTCTGAAGAATGTACAAAATAAAAATGCATCTTTCAAAAAGCAGATTTCAATCACTCAAGTCTCTTGAAGATTTAAAGACATATGATACAAATTAACATTAAGGTAAAAAAATTTCTTTTCCATTCTCCTAAGCTGATCAAATATTAAAAACATACTACTTACATTGGGAACATGGTGGGAAGACTTGAGGCTGAAAAAAGTGGTTTATTAAATTGTCGGATGTCCCATAATTTTAATGTATCATCACCTAACAGAGGAATGAGAAGAAAAAAAGAAAAGTGAATCATGCAAAAAGAACTCACTCCAAGTTTAGAGTTTGCTAAACTTAGCGTATAAGGAGGGAAGCAAGGAAGAAAAGAAGGAAGAGAGGAAAGGAGGGAGGAAAGAAGGAAAAGAAAAGAAAGAAGGAAAGAAAGAAAGGAAAGAGAGAAAGAAGCCAGATGCACATAAGCATGTTTCACTTTTTTAACTGTTCAGGGAGCTCAAACACAGTAGTTGCAAGAACAGTAGAAAGCTATAAGATAATGAATCGGCCTTCTAGAAATTCCTTTCCAGATTAATGTAGCATCTGTAGTCTAAAAGGAACCCCGGAGAATCTAAGGAGTGATTTTAGAGCAGATGGTAGTTCCTCTGTGGTATATATGAGCGTAACCTGACTTCTTGAGAATATCTTAATTTAATAACCATCAGGATTGAAAATAGTTCAATTCACAACAGATTACTTTTCCCACTAGTGTGTGGGTAAAGCTATCCATTAACATTAATGGTGGTGAGCCATGTGTTTCCCTTCCCTCCAGTGTAATTCTACCTGTAGCTATCATTCTTCACTTTGCTGAGGAGTATAGCTTTTCCAAGTCATTTAAAGAACAATGAATATTCTTTTAAGAATCACTTTTTTATATTTCTATAGGGCTACTAACTAATTCCTGACTAGAACAAAAGCTGAACTCATATAAGTAATGTTTTTGCTGTTCTTTCTCCCCAGTGCCCACAGCTGAGACCTACCTCAACCCCCTCAGGTCCAATAAAGAATCAGTATCAGGTGCAAATGAGGTGAGTGGAGAGTTCAATAAAAATCCCCCTTCTCTCCCCAGCGACCCTTCCTCTGAAACCCAACTTTGGCAGGTGCACTAATCCACAACTGGCTGGACTGAGGACCTGCTTGTTCTGTGAGAACTTTGTAAGACTCTCCTTTGGAATGTTACCCTCTTGCTTTTAGTCTTAAAAAAAGGTTACACAACCCCACAATCCTCAAACAATAAGAAAACATTAATCTGCATTAATCTCAGTTAACCCAGCAGGTTCTGGAGCTAGGAGGAGCACCTTACAACACCCTGAGGACTTCCTGATGAATAGACTTCATCTGCTATACTCTATACATCCAGGAAGGAAAATGATGGAATACAGTATGCATGTTGTGTTGACCAATTAAATTATCCAATAGCTATTATAGGATGAAAGGGGAAGGTAAGAATTATCATCAAAATGGCTTTGACTGAAATAGAGTTAGTCCTGTACTTCTAAGGCAGTAAGTGTCAACTGAGTGAGGGTTCGCCTATTTTAGAATTCTATGGGAAGAGTTTTCAAATTAACTCCCCTTTTTATCCCCTCTTCTCTCCTGACTTCAACTCAGAGATTTGGGTATACCACCCTAAAGATGCAAGAGAGAATTTCTAAGTGGAGCATTTATCATTTGAAAAACCTTCCCAGGGGATTCAAATACACTCTTGGGATGAGAACCATAGTTTTTAAATAAAGAATATATATATATATATATATATATATATGTGTGTGTGTGTGTGTGTGTGTGTGTGTGTATATATATATAGTTTTAATTGTGAGTCATCTCTGTACTTGAGTAGCATGTTAGAATTGATGGACCGAAATACATATTTTACACATATCCACAGTTGACAGGTATAACATAAATGGAAAGTTACATGCACATGTGCTTTGATGTTTTAAAATTATGCAAATGAGGGTAGTTTGGCTACATCAGTAAGGTTTCCTTAGAGGAAAGAGAATCTGAATGGAGTTCCCATGGGTAAAAGGACACGGACTAGTTAAACTAGGGAAAAGGGAAAAGCTGTGCCAAGGCTCTTGTCTCTCCTCATTTCCACTACCCTCTACACTAGGTCGTAAATTCTTTCAGGAAAGGGACCCTGTCTATGATGTTCACAGTTTATACGCAGCACCTAGCATAATGCTAGCTCACAGGTACTCAATATAGAGTAGATGAGTGAGTGAATGAATAGCTAAATATAGCATTGCTAGATTCAGCTGCCCAAAGTGTTTTTCCTTTTTTGGCCTACAGGATAACTAAATCCTTTATGTGATATTTAAGGCCCTATGTAACACAGCTCCAACCTACTTACCCTGCTATTTCTTTTCTCTCCCCATAAAGGGGTCTATGGGGAGATGCTCAGCCATGGCCCACACTTTCCCATAATGCTTAGCTCAGAAGCTGCCCTGTCAACACACAGCATATCCATGTGGGAAAGATGTTGCAAAAGATTAGAAACAACTGATGATATCTAACCTTATGAGTGTGGGTAAGTAAATTTACAATATGACCATATAGAACTATTTAAAAAATAACATCTAGATATACAATTTTTTTAACTAAATTGAGTTAGGGTTTGAAGTGAAAAAAAATCAACGGTCAATAGAAGACTTTGAAATATCAGATGCAGAATTATTAAATGGGGCCAGGCGTGGTAGTTCATGCCTGTAATCCCAGCACTTTGGGAGGCCAAGGCAGGAGGATCACTTGAGACCAGGAGTTTGAGACCAGCCTGGGCAAAATAGCAAGACCCTGTCTCTACAAAAATTTTTTAAAAATGAATTAGCCAGGCCTGGTGGCTCACACCTTTAGTCCTAGCTACTCAGGAGGCTGGGGCAGGAGGTTCGAGGTTACAGTGAGCTATGATCACACCACTGTACTCCAATCTGGGTGACAAAGCAAGACCCTGTCTCTTAAAAAAAATTATAAAATGGCATAGAAAGAATGTAGATGATCATCTATAAAATTCCTAGGGTAGAGGCAAAGATAATTTGTGGAGACTTCAAACTCTTACAGAATTTGAAGCTAAAATAAAAACTTAGGCAAAAAAAGGTAATATATTCTAAATTTTACTTGATAATTTTTAATACGAACAATGTTGCCAAGTTGGAAATGCATTTTAATGAAAAATTCAGCCTGGCAAAAGTTTACTAACAAAAAGCATAGCTAGCTTTACTAAGCGCTAGGATATTAGTAAGACATTTGTTAGAGTTAAATATAGTAATTTTACACACAAAAAAATTTCAAAAAGAAAGTTTGTAACCTACCTCCACGAGAAGCAAGGACATTACCATCATAGGAAAAAGTCACACAAGAAGTGTCTGTGCCTGGGTCATGAGCCTGTTTATAGTGGAACTTAGGATGAACCTGTTTGTGAAGATAAGCAAAGTGTTAACATTTCACCTGACTTCCGAAAAGAACATTTTTAAGGCAAGAAAATTTCACTTTATCATGATGAAAATGATATATACCTATAGGTAAAGTACTAATTTCACATAATTATAGTTTGCTTTCCTTCCAAAAAAAAATCCAAAAGGCTTTTAAAAACATCTATTTGCTTTAATAAAGAATAGAGAAGGTAAGTCCTAGCAGGAGACATTTTTCAGACTGCCTTAGCAAGCTCTGAGCTACTCAAGATTATGACTGCATTTAGTTTCTTGTATTATGCTTATAAAGTTGTTGGGACCATTTCCTGTATTTCTCTGAAAGAGCAGATATAAATAAAAATTACAAATGTGCATATTATTTATTTCCTCAAAAATACTTATTGTATTCCTAGTACATGCCAGACACTGTGCACATGGTTGTAGGTCTTGAACTATCTTTCATATGCCTGTTAGATGATGATGTTGTTAATAATAATAGTTACACAGCTAACCCTCACATAATGCTTATTATATCCCAGGTACTATATCGTTTACTGTCTTGCCTATTTAGTCCTCACAATCGCTCTGTAAGTTAGGTTCTACTATTGTCATCTCATTTTATAGTTAGGAAACAAAGCACAGAGATTCAAATACCTTGTCCAAGGCCACACAGTCTGTAAGTAGTAGAGCTGAGGGTTTGAATCCAAAAAGCCTATGTGCTTAAATACTGCACTATAACCCTTCTCTTATTGATCTATCTTAATAGTCTTTTTACTTCTAACACTGCTTTTGCACAGTTAATGACTTGTAAAAGTATTTAATAACTCTACTACACCAATCTTGCCATTCATTTATGACTAACCAGCATAGCCAAAGTACTAAGAAGTCAGTTATCCCCAAAAGTATACTCTACATGAACAAAAATATCTGGTCCATTAAAAACTTTGTCCCCTGCATAGCTATCACTAACAGAGTACCCTCTATGATAGCTAATAGTGTGTGTGTGTGTGTGTGTGTGTGTGTGTGTGTGTGTGTTTATGTGCACCTGTGTAGGCAGGCACACATGCCATACTGGGTGATTACACAATAGTTGTGAGTCATTAAGAATTTTTTTAGGGTAATTCCACAGCAAAAGATAGGGCCATTGACAGTAATGACAGCATGTGGACCTCTCCTAGGAGCCACAGGTATGGGAATACAAGTGACACCATCTCCATTGGTCTTGCAGCAACTCTAACAAAGAATGAGTCACAAAACAGAGTTGATGTACTTTACCCTCCCAACGATATTCCTGATGCCTGTCACTGGGTTTACACCTAAAAGCATCTACGAATGAGGAGTATACTATCTCACGAAAGCCAGCTATTTTTAAATTTTTAATAATTTGTATATCTTGAGTGAAAATTGGCCTCTCAGTTCTTCCTCTGGGTAACAGTATTAGAATTTTATATTAATTTTCATGCTTCTATCTTTCATGGATAAAAAGGACTGATTCAACATTTTTTTTTACTGGACATCAACTATATGGCAGACACCAAGTTAAGGTAGACAGAATTTTGACTCCCATGACCTCTGCCCCCTAGTATCATGGCCATGATTGCCTTATATGGTCAAAGGGACTTGGCAGGTGTAATTAAGGTTACTAATCAGCTGATCTTAAAATAGGAGATTACCATGGATTCCAGGTAGGGCCAAAGTAGCCACATGAGCCAGAGGGTCAAAAAGAATGTCATAAAGATGTGACAGAAGAGGAAGACAAAGAGATTCGAGGCATAAGTGTTAGACATGCCACTGTTAGCTTAAAGATGAAGGGAGTCAGGTGTCAAGGCAATGGGGGCCTGAATCCTGCCAACAACTAATGAGCCTGAAAGAGGACACTGAGCTCAGATTAGAGCCATAGCCCAAGGCAGTATTTTGATTTTAGCCTAGTGAGACCCTCAGAAGAGAATCCAGCCACATTGTACCACACTTTTTATCTACAAGAATTGTGAGAAAATAAACTGGTGTTGTTTTAAGCTACTAAATTTGTTAGATGGCAATAGAAAACTAACCTACCTTTATTGAAAGGCCTGAAGGTAAAAGAACTTGTTGCATTCAAAGAACTAAAAGAAGTTAGCCAAAGGAGTGGTGGGAAACTGATGTGAACAGGGCCCAAACCATCAGGGGACTCATGGCCATGTTAAGGAGCTTAGATGTTATCCTGAAGGCACAAGGGAGCTGCTGAAGGAGTTAAAGCAGAGGAGTCACGTGACTAGGTTTGCTTATTTTTAAACAATTATTCTGGACACGTGGAGAACAGACTGGGACTATTCTGTTTCTAGGACTAACAAAACTCTGCTACCAACCTCAATAAGAAAAATTTGCCTTTTGCTTATCTCCCATCAAGTCATCAACTACCAAACTCTAAATGAAGCTTTAAACAGATCCCATGAACAGTGCTAACAGTTTACCAAAAAGTCCTATAGTTACATTTGGCCTTTCAGTGAATTTAACTTAGTTTTTTGTGTGTTTGTTTTTAAATGTTTTGTTTGTTTTTAATGTGAATAAATACATACACATATCTAAGTAGAACAAAGACCTATCATTTCATGAATGATCAGGCAGTGTGGTAAGTAGAAAGCGCACTGAGCCAGCAACTAGAAGGTAGGAAATTTAGACTTAAGTTCAGGCAAAAACTAGCAGTGTGACCTGGGACAAATTACTTAGTTTCTCTGGTTCACAACTCTATCTTCTGTAAAATAAATGGATTGAAGTAGATGATTTCCAGGGTCGCTTACAGCTCTATGACCCTTAAGGAAAAGATAAAACTGGTAAATACCTAATGTTTTATAATCTGATTATCTAATCAATATATACTTTTATTATTAAGACAAAATAGATCTTGAATGCCAATATTTGAAAATATAAGTATACACATATAGATGTGTATACACATATATACCAGTAAGCAAAGTGAGATAAAGAACTTTTAAAAGGTGTATAATCCAGTGGAATCACATCATACAAACTTCTATGTGAGCCTGCAGCAAGCAGGTAGTTCCATTTGATAGCCTATTTCTAATTCTACTACTTGTTGCTTCAGAGAAGAGATGAGATTGTGAATCTGATGCTCCTTAAATTTATCTTGCCTCTCTGTGCTCTTTACTACCCTGAGTGGGATTCTAGGGTTTAAAGACATAAAGCCATCCAGTGCTCAAGAAAAGAAAAGTGATCTGTTTTCAAAACCTTAAAAAAAAAATTCGGCTGGATCTAACAGGACCTAATAAAAGAAAGAGGCCAAATGTCTTCACTTGATTGAGATGGACAGCTCACAGATTTTATGTCAGAAAGTGTTCTTCAATCATCAACTTCACCTTAACCAGAAATGAAAGTATATTCCAATGAAGTTAAACAGATAGACAGAGGTGACCTAAAACTTGTATGAAACATCAACACTTAGTCCATGGTGACAAATACTCTCATACTTTGAAAACAAAGTCAACCTAACTGAAAAACACTTCTGGCATAATGTGGGGAATCTAAAACTGCAACTTGTCCTTTAACTGCTTTCATAATCATCCTAAGCAAAGAACACTGTTCTTCAGAAAAGTTGAGATTATTAACTCCATTATATAGGTTTCTTAGTCTTAAGTGTGCCTTATGCTATGATTTGGAGAGTATCAAGTCTCAAATATCCACAGGGATGGAAAACGCAAGCACAAAAACCTAGTTTTAAAGGCCCTGTCTGATATCATACAACACAAAGTCCCCATTGGTAAAACTGTCTCTATACCACTCTTCTCAGCAGATGGTCACAGGGCCTCTAGCAATGAAGAAGTCATTACATCACCAGGAGTATCAGTCCATTTCTGGGTGGCTCTAGCTGGTAACACTTTTCTTAAACTGGGTCCAAGACCCTCTTCTGACATCTACTCAGGGGACTTGCTCCTACCTTCTGTGGCTATGCTGACTAAATCTAGTTTCTCTTCTCTGATACCATTTACCCAATTCTCAAAGAAAACTATAATGTCTTCCACAAAGTCTTAAATATTCCACTTCCTTATGGTGGTACCAAGGGTCAGTTAGTTTATATCCAGCGGCTGCCCAGATCCTAATGTCTGCCTGTTGCTCTAGTGTGCGTCTATCAATGCAGGAGAAGGATAGTCCTCAAAATGATGAAAACACCTTTCATAATAAATAGAAATGGTGGAAAAAACTATTTTAAATGAAAGAATTTAAAAGAATTACTGGGCTGAGAACAGAGAAAAAAAGTAATAGAAAGAATACTGTTCCTAGAGCCAAGTTGACTTGTCCTAAAATTTTAGCTTACTACATTTAAGTTTGACTCTGGCCAAGCTGCTTAACCTTTTTATTTCTCAGTTTATTAATCTTTAAAATAACATGCCCTACATCTTCCTACCCTGCCCTTCTCCCCAAATCACAGAAAGACTGTGTTACATTTAACCTATCTCCCTGCCTTGTGTTAATAACACAAGTTTATAAAGTCTATAGTGGGTATCTCCTCTCAAAAAGGTCTTAAAATGCAACTATCCTATAAAACACAAACTCTGAGAGCAAGATAAAGCAAATGGTATGCTACCTAACAAACTGGGTATATTAACCTGTCCCCTCAAATCTATTCCTATGACCTGCCAATAGACAGAAATTTTCTTTCTCTATTGGAATCTATTTTCAAGCTTAGTTATAAGCAAACAATTCCAATCAATTCTATATTGTCAATTATATGTTAGGGTTACTTACTATACTAGCATGTCCAGATTTTTTAATAGGCCAAGATTAAAAAATAAAATAAATATAGGTCTAGACTAAATAGAATTTTCTTCTGTTTCTCTAAGTTTTGAGACTTGTAGGAAGGATAATGTGGTGCTTTTCAAATCCACGTTAATTCAACTAATACTTACATGTCAAATATTATCCCAGGAACCGGGGACAAAATAAAGACCCTATTATCCTGAAGTCTACATTTTAGTGAAGGGAAGTGGACCATAAAATATTTCTAAT